GAGACGGCCTCGGCGAGGCGGAGAGTCGTTGCGACGCGTGCTTCAGGCGAGTCGGAGAATCGACCGAGACTCTGTGATTGTCCTTTGGCTTTGATATTTGTGAGGTTTTAAGCAATCTTTTTGGTTCTTGCTTAGGGTACCCCTTTTTATGGTATCCGACAGTTGGTTTCAGAGAATGCCTCCTTGCTATGTGGTTTTTGAAGGGAAGAAACCTATGATTTATTTTACATGGTATGAGTGTGCTAAGCAAGTGCTTAGGGAAGAAGGGGCTATCTATCAGAAGTACAACAACTATGATGATGCTCTTAGAGATTTTAATGCAAGGGTACCTCAAGGATCCTTGCTGTTACCAATTGATGCCCCTCATGGGGATGCATCAGCATCCCATGAACTGGTGACAGCTTAAGGTTCTAAAATTTATCCTCATTCAGTTGGGCTGCAAGGCTGTTGCAAAAATGCTGTCATCTTGATCTTGTTTATGGTTGTAGTTGGTCTGTCACTCAAGCTGTTCATGTGCCACAACTGTTGTTTTAATTAGGCCGATGATGACACAATAGGATGACTGCATTAGCTGGCTACATGCCACTTTGATTCATGTACTCTCTTTTCTGTTAACTTGTTGCCCTTCTCGGCTTGCCAAACTACTTAATTCTGCTACTGTTCTTAATTTGCTTCTTTGATTATGCAATGTAGCCGGCAATGTATGTGTTGATTAAATGGAATTAGTCTGAGGCCTATGTCTTTTGTACATTTTCATTCAAAGTGTTTGCTTCTCTATTGATCATGCTGTTCTTCCTTCTCTTTGGGCCAGGCCGAGCACAGCAGCTGGCAAACACAATCTGTGCTCGGCAGTTGGTGGCGGTTGGCGTTTGAGCCCGGCTAAGTATTGGGTCACAAACACCAGCTCACCTAGGCCGGGCTAAATCGGTACAGGTGCACAAACAAGCTGTGTTGCAGTAGTTGGAGCAGGCCTACCCATGCCTGGTCCGTTTGGGCTGGCTCGGCTGTGCTGACCAGCTGTGCAAACGCGCCCTTATTGGACACGTACCATCCGCACTTCCGCAGAGCGCAGACTGGTCCATCTCTAGTGGACACTGCATGCATGCATGCGCCTGTGGCGCCACTGCAGCTACGGCAAAAAGAAAAGCTGTGTCTCTGCACAGCTGCATGCAAACCGCAAAGCAGAAGAAAAAGAAAGGACTCGCGAGTGTCGAACTCGATCATACATACGTGTCGCTGTGGCAGCGCAGCGATGGATACGGAGAGCACCCAACCCAACGCGGCGGGCGTATGTATAGTATAGCGATCATATAATCCGACGGTTGAGCCGGATTGGAGCGGAGACGCGTCGATATATGATCGATCCACGCAAAGGGCGCTGAGAGAACGGAAGGACGAAGCAAGCACCTCGCAATGCCTTGCCCGTTTCGGCAAGCTAGCTAGCTAAAGGAGTGTGGAGCTCTACAAACAGACCTGTAGACAACAGCGCTAGGGACCGATCGACCGCCTAAGATGCTGTGACTAAGAGCTATACTAATTCCATTCCATGTACTAGTGGGAGACATGAGTTAATGTTGACTGACAGGGGTGAAAAACCCTGTGCGGTGTGCACTAATAACCTAGCTGACTGATGTATCCCGGCCTATATTTATACGCAACGATTCATATACCTAGGGGGTGTTTCATTCCTCCGCCTAAACTTTAATCGTTGTCCCATCAGATATTTGACACATGCATGGAGTATTAAATATAGAATAATTACTACATTTAAACTATGCATGTGTACAAAGATTTGATTGATGGAGAAGAGTGAAAAACTTGGAATCTAAAAGGCCTATATTTTTGAGACGGATCTTTTAAGTCTAATTAGTCCATATTTTTGACAACGTATAGAATACTAAACTAAACATGTGCTAATGACGGATTAGTTGCCTAATTTAATAAATGACAACGTAGTGCTACAGTAACATGTGCTAATGGCGGATTAGTTAGGCTTAATAAATTCATCTCATGGACTGATGGATTCTATAATTTGTTTTTTTATTAGTATCGAAATACCCCATACGACACCCTCATATGACACCTCCTAAATTTTAGTCACCGGAGCACCCCTGCTGATCGACGATTGAGACAGAGCACTATCGACTGAAGACTTCGATCGTTCGTAAACGCTGCATGCTGCCTCTCATAGTCAGTGTCATATATACTAGCTACCTAGAGCTCCAACACCAGCATCAACGCATGCTAGCTGTGCTTTCATCGATTGCCTTGCATGCTGCTGCTGGCCACCACATCCAACCTCCGGCTCCGATCCGATAAAAGGGTCGCTGCTAATGCTATGCTAGCTAGCGTATGGGCGCACGCAGGGCGGTGGACTACTTACTGGTCGGCACCGGTCGTCGTCAACATCAACATGCATGCATCGCCATCGCGTGATGACTGCTATGCGGTACCCTGGCTGCATGCATATATGTAGAATGCGGTAGAGTTTTGATAATTGCTCTCGGTATGAAATTAAGTACGCGTAGGAGACAATATAAGGAAACTTCGCCATGCACTGCAGTTGTGCTACCCTCCCACCTCGGAGAAGAAAACACCCTCGGAGGAGAAAGCGAGCGGATGCGCGTAGCACCAAAGTGGGTGGTGTCTGGTTCGGGGAAGGCTTGTGGCGCGGGATCAGGTGCTGCCCTCCCAAACTCGGCAACTCGACATCGACCGCCCGTTCATCACTCTCCGCTCCATTGGCCCAGTGCCTCTCTCTCTGTACCTTTATACTAGCTTATCATCACAGAAACAAAAAAATCTTTTGATATCTTTCAGTACTCTCTTTCTCTCTCTCCGCCACCCTGATCCTAAAGCGCAAAGTACACGTGTTTTAATCTGCCAATTAATTTGTACGTAACTAAATACAACACTAGTATAATGCAGTACCCTACCGTACCAAGCAATGCAATACGCCCCACAGGACACGTTTATCATAAATCATCATCACTTTGACCAATCAAAATAATAAATCATGCATAAAAAATGCTCCAGAGGCAAATGGAATTATAATTAGGACGGGGAGATGATTTTTGAAACAAGAAATTAATTAACACAACAGCTACCTTTTAATTTACTCATTTCGTCCCAAAATAAATCAATTTATAGAATTGTCCTAAGTCAGATTATTTTAAGCTTGACCAAACTTCTCAAGATAGTTTGACTTAATTAGGATGATTCTAGAAATTGATTTATATTGGGGTGGAGGGATTGCATGCATAAAAAAGAGTGTTATAGAGGCAAAGTTAAACTCCAAGTTTGATAAAGTCTTTTAAGAAAACATAAATTTTTTTAAGATTTTTAGGAAAACATAATAACATCTATGAGTTCAAACAAATGTATTATAAAAACATATTTTATGGTGATTTAATGAAACTAGTTTGATATTGTAGATGATGATGATGCACATTTTTTTATAAACTTAGTCAAAGTTGGAGGACCTTTCGACTCAGGAGTCATGACACAGGCAAAGTAATAAAATATAATTTACGAACTGATGAGCTTTAACCACACCACCGTGCCATCTGAATGCTAGCTTGAAGCATAGTGAGCATGGGTGGAAATGTTCTCCTCCATGGCTCCATCCTGCCCCACCAGCATTAGCACAAGAGCAGCAAGCACCAGCAGTCAAATCTGTGCATCAGAAGGGGGGGTTAGGATAGCTGGATAGAGAACCAACAAGAAGCGATGTTGCATGGAGTAGTAATGAGTAGCAAGAGGATTTGCATTGCATATGTGACGCAGCTCAACCTCTAAGATGAGAGGCGCTGCTGGCTGCTCTGCTGCTGTACCAGTGCTTTTCATGCATGCATGTGAAATGGCAGGCAATTGGGACTTGGAAGACTACCATACATACATGGCACAGCACACATATATATCATGGATACATGTAACAGCATAAAACTCATCATCATGGCTTCTCATATGTGCAACTGTGCTTGTGCATACATACACACACACATGCCATACATGCACACACATGCATGCCAAAGGATACAAACAAAAAGTAGATGCATCAACACCTTTAATTATACCACCAATAAGGAACCTGTTAAACACAGCAAGTTCTTCCCATCATCATATAATTAAACTTGAGCATATATGTACGGCTGATTATATATACGGTACCTCTGTTAGTTAGCTAGTTATTATAATCGTTGCCTCCACCTATCTATGCTGACAGCATGCATGTTTATATATGTAACAGCGCGTACATGTGATAGCAACGGGAATAACAGGCATCCATCCATCTAACTTGCGCATTTTGGCACTCTAACACTGGAATCACCATGCATGGCAATTGGCATGCATGACCAAACCGCAAATAAACCACAGATTTTTGGCAAGAAAATGATACGGAAAATTAAGCTGGATTTTGCTGCACTAAATTTATACATACAGCGGCCAGAACGGAACGGGTTTCATATTCAGTTTATATATATACACTGCAGTTTCACTGCACATTATCTCTACTATAATGAACCAATCAAAATTATACTAGGTCCTCCAAAAAACGTCTCTCGCTGAGAGCTTCCAACCCTTATGTACCCAGAAAAATACACACAGGAATTCATCTCCATTAAAATTAAGAGCTAATAAAACACCTAAATCAAATCCGATGGCCACGATTCGATGTGGGATGCCAGGCTTCTCACTCGGCGCCCTCCATCCCATGCACGCGGGCTGTTTCTTCCCTTCAAATCTCTACTATAATGGACAAATCAAAATTATACTAGGTCCCTCCCCCAGAAAACGTCCCTCGCTGAGAGCTTCCAACCATTGTGTACTCAGAAAAATATACACATGAATTCATCTCCATTAAAATCAAGGGCTAATAAAACACCTAAATCAAATCCGATGGCCACGTTTCGATGTGGGATGCCAGGCTTCTCACCCGGCGCCCTCCATCCCACGCACGCGGGCTGTTTCTTCCCTTCAAACGCCCACGCACGTCGCGATCAGGGTTCAGGGATCGAGCCTGCGAACACGGAAAAAAGAAACGCACCACGCCCGACTCCCAACGCTCCACGCCGCCGCCGCCAATGGACGCGTCGAGGACGCCATGGATCCCTCTCCTCCGGCTTTGAACCAACCGCTCCGCCGCCTCCTCCCAGATCCTCTAGACCATCCCGTCGGCTGGCCGCGCCTCCTCCCGGATCCGCCAGACCAAGCAAAGCACACGCTGGTCCCGCACGGGGAGGCGGCTGCTGTGGTGGCGGCAGGCGAGACCCGACACCACGGGACCTGCTGGCGCACGACGGCACTCGCATCCATGCCGTCGGCCGGGGGTCGTAGTCCGCCAGCGTCTTGCCGTCCTCCATCTCCACCTTGCCGAAGAAGAGGGCCATCCTCCTTGCTGTCCCCGCCTCATCTTCGTTGCCGCCACCGCATTGGCGTCCCCGGACTCCCACCACCTCGACCGATCCGCAACTCCTCTCTGCTGTCACCGTCCGCATCTCCTCAGCCGCCGCTGCATGTGCGAACAGTTGCATCGGTCACATGTTGGGGCCTCTATCTGCGCTCACCCATCCTGCCATCCCCGACGCTGGCCGCTCCGCCGCTGCCGAGCCACCGCACGGCAGCACGACGAGGGATCCATCCTCAGCCCCTCCGTCGCGACATGCCTCGGCCCCCTCCATCGCGGCATGCCTCGGCCCCCTCTGTCGTGGCATATGGCCGTGCGAGCAGGACGGCGGCCGGCCGTGCACGACGGCGACCTATCCTGCCATTGCTCCTTCAGGTATAGCCCCTCCGTTCCTGCCACCATCTGTCCAGATTACATTGTCATAATGGCATACTCAAATTTCAGTGGGTTAACGGCATGCTCTTGAAAATTATTTTGCTTTTGGCATTTTACATTGGCATGCTCATATTTAAAAAATCTCGAAAAAATCAATTTTGTTTCATGTATGGCATTTTCTGGATTGTTTGAACAGATGGGCTCTTCTCAGGTGCACTCATACGTGCTTTCTCAGCTCTAAGGTGCAAAGCCCATATGCTGAAACTCTAGAACCGAGAAGAAGTGCACTTCAGGATGATTTTGAGGAAGAAGAGGAAGACAAGGAGGATGCCCACAGCCTGACACTTTATTCAGAGTATATGACCAGCAGGTTTACCTTTCCTATTATTCCAATGCTTCATTCAACAAATTGCTTTCAACAACAACAACAACAACAAATCGCTTTCACATCTTTAGATTTGTTGTAGGATCATGGATACCATATCTGACATTGGAAAATACAGTTTGTCATTTTTTCATAATAGGTTCTTGCTACAAAATAGCAAAATGCGTCAATTGTGGGCCACTGAATTTTGGGGGCAGTTCCTTCGTGTTATAGCGGACTTGCAACCATGGGGATTCATGTACACACTTGGCAGCATTACTTTACTAGATAAGGGTTCTCTTTTTTAAAGGAAGGTTTATGATTTTATTTACTAATCCATCTTAGCTATTTCAACAATATTAGGTCATATGGTACCAAATGCATGATTGAGTAATCTTCGCTATTACATATTCTTATCATTTTGGAATTGATGGCAGTTACATTATTTTCATGGTCCCGTAAAAAAGTTGATTGAAATTCTTTTGTGCAGACCCAAGAGCGGGCAAGGCAGCTATTACTGCCAAGGTTTCAAGATGAAAGGGCCCCAGGGCAGCACCGCCCCACAGTGCCAGGGGTAAACCTGCTCTCGCTCCTTGCTCACTGCCTCACTGGTGTTGGAGAAAGATGAAGCTACTCTCCATCAGCGTCCGATTACAGCTCAACGTCTGCTGCAGGTTCAAGGTTTCTGAAAAGAACTTTAACCTGGAATAGAGCATTTAAAAATCTAAAACTTGATACCGATTTCATTCTATCATTGGTTTGGTTCTGAACCTTTCTTTCCTTTCACATTCATATGTGTGGATTTGTAACATACTCTCAAAAAAAATATTGTGTGCCTGTGCAACTAGATTTCCATTTGCATTCATTTGTTGCCAACTGCGTCTGTTTTCCTCACCGGCCAAAACCGGTTCTATCAGTTACCATGTTCTTTGTAAATGACAAACTTTGAAATAAAATTGTCTTCATGTTTCCTTTTGCGCATATCTCTACTATAATGGACCAATCAAAATTATACTAAGTCCCCCTAGGAAAAAGCCCCCCGCTGAGAGTCTCCAACCATTGTGCACCCAGAAAAATCACTACACCACAATACCAAGATTAGTGATGGATGGTTTGACGCTAAAAGCGGCTACAACGATCAGACAATCTGACGCTGAAAAGTTATAGCGACAGACTTCTACAGACGTTGTAAGTCTTGTCGCTAAAAATCTTTAGCGTCAGACAGTACTTTTTAGCGACAGACAGTCTGCTGCCCTAAATATTTATAGCGACAGATAGTACATTGCTACTTTTTAGCGACAGACTATGCGATGATACATATGGTTTTAGCGACAGATAGTCCAACGAGACAATTTTAAATGGTTAAAAAAATAAAAATTAATCCATCAACAATTGTCCACAATAATACAAATGTCACTACACAACTAAGATTCAACTTCAACAAACATACATGCATCTTCACAAATTTGACTAAAACTTTACAACAGCTCACATAGATAAGCTCACCATCTCATCTATTTCCTCTAGAGACAATAAGAACATCCTCCAAAACATAATGATCATAAGAAGGGACAAGAAGAACATCCTCCAAAACTTTACAACAGCTCAAGCTGCTTTAGCTAAGCAGATCATGGATGTAGATATACCTGTCTTGATTTCCACTTGTAATTCCTGAGTCTCTACCTACAGTAAAAATTAATTCTTAGGCCAGAACCATAAAAATCATTCTTGTTCGATGATCCTGCAATAGTAAGGTTGTACATAGCTTAAACGTTAAGTATGTGGAGTAGGGTGAGTGAGATTATATACCTTTGCTTGCATTTGTTTGGTGGATTCAGCGCCAACTGATGCTGCTTCAGAAGAAGCGATGAAAGCAGTCACAGGATCATCTCCAGCCTCAAGTCTCTGCTCAGCACAGTAATTTTATCAGATAACCATGGACAATTGTGCAGGAAGATAAAGTAGAATCAAGAAGTAACCTGTTTTAGAACAGCAGAAGCAGGAATTAGGGCATCCAACATTGTGCGGTATCCTGCGCTGGCACCACCATATTTGCTAACATCAGCAACGGAGGCCTCTAAAGCATCAGCCCCTGCAGAAAAGCAGCAAGGTTTATTTAGTATGTAAAATTCATGATATATGGTCAGAAAGATCAAGCACATTGCTTACATTTATTTGCAGTGACAGTTGAGCTCTGCTTTAAGCTTGCATAGGCAGCCTTGCAGAGTATGTCATACCTGGAGTATATTAGGAAATAGGAACTGTAAGTTTACTCCGTAGTAATCATACATTCAATAAGGAAAAAATGGGCACCGAAAGCACAAATTATCATACAAGATTCCACTTGTTCCGCCCATCACCCTTCGGATTGTTGCCCCAATTTCATTTATTGTTCCAGCTGCATCATCCATAGGGTAACTGGAATAGAGAAAAAAATGCACTAAATTTTGGTCAAATTTTACATGAAAAAAAACGAATTATATCATAAAATTAGCTGACCCGATTATAATATCAGGAAAATGATACAGAAAAAGACACTGGCTGGAAATGAAGTGTGATATAGTGATAGAACTAATGAGAATCATCAGCATCATGTATATGATTTCCACTAGACAGGAACCAGCGTTATATACTAAAGCTAGTAAAACTAGGTGGGAGTTCATATATCGTCTTTTTATCACATGTCAGCAGCACAATTATCATATTTCTAATCTACATTTCAAGAATAAAAAACTTCTTGCCAATGATTTGTAGTGCTTTTAACTTACCGCTTTTTCATATCTACAAGAATAGCTGTTGCACCTCTATACATCTGAAAAGAACAATGAATTACTCAATCCTAAAATAGCAGTAGTCAAATAAGCATTGAATTGAATTGGTAAACACAATTTAACTCACTGTGGTTCCACAGTCACCATCGCCCACTTTACTGTCCCATTCATTTAGGCTATCCTTGAGATTGATAATTGCAGTAGCACTTGCTTCAATAGCAGCCTCCAGGATACACCCTTGCTTGCTCAGCTCCTGAGATGGAGCAAAAATCTGCAGAAGAATAACAAATCATGATAACTGAGGGACTGCAAATGCATATGCCAGTGTGATAAAAGACAAAAAAATGCAAAATAGTCTTGAAAGTTCTGTGAAAAGGGACAATGACAACAGAGCCCACGGTTTTCCCATTCTCTGGATCTGGCATTGAGAAACTGAGACAAAGCAATACCACATAACAGCTTGAAATAAAAAAAAAATACACCCATAACCCCTACAGAACCAGCAAACAGCTACTTGCACTTCTTGCACGCTTCCACATTAGATCACAGGTGAACTGACGGCCACAGAAAACAGATCGCAAAAATCCAAATAGGGAATTTGTTTTACCTCGTCATCCTTAATTGAAGGTGATGGTGGTAGAGGAACAGGAAACTTTGCTGGTGGACGGTTTCCTACAGTCAAGTGATCAACACTAAGTTTAGACAATTGATTCATAATTGAAAGGTTCTGATAGAGCTTAAAATATTTTCCCCCGTGCTGAAAACATGATTCGGAAGTTTTGATAGCAGTCTATGTGTCTCAATAAATTCCCATTTATCTGAACAACCTACACTTGTTACAGCCTTGAATCAATGTTCGCACAACACGGATCGTAAGCGAGTCTTTAGTATGTACTAAGAAAAGAAAATGTGTGGCAAGTGAGATGATGGTAGAAGGGGAAAAATAATGAAAGGAAGATAACAGTATAGGTCCAATTTATACACCAGAAATAAACTGACTACAACATTGTTCTAAAATGTGACCATCCCACCCACCCACCTAGCCTTCACCTAGGTGTGAGTTAAATCCTTCCTCCTAGAACCTAATCATCCAATTAGCCACTCGCACCAAGCAACCACCCGCTTAGCACTGATTAGCCACTAGACATGGAGCCCACCGAACACCTAGCACCTTTTAGAGCGCTTCAGAGCATTGTTAGAGAACACAAGCTAAAGGCACTCCCTCCATTCCAAATAATAAGTCATTCTGGCTTTTCTAGAAACATAGCTTCAGTGGGAGCAGGCCAAATTAACTCACCTTTAGAACCAACAGGCCAAGCTGGAGCTTTAGTGGGAGCATCAAGTCTCTTCAAAATGCTATCATCGGACTTCATAATGGTAATAGATAATCCTGCAAAGGGAAAGAGTCTGAAACAATATTGCCTGCCTGCCTGGTTACTTAGGAAGCTGAGTCAACGTAAAATGCTGACATATGCATTGTGATTAGATAAACAATTCCACTTAAGTCAACTGCTTGTATATCAGATGATTATGAACAATATATAAAACATTTTTGTTTGTGAGCGTGACGATTGGAGCAAAGCAGTTATCTTGACCAGTGAATGATTTACGAGGTTTGGTAAAATCATGTTAACCGAATGTAGAGATGACAAAGCTCGTCCACATCATCATTTCGAGGAATCACGCAAAAAACTGACCTGCCATATCAAGAGATGTCATAAGTGTGCCAGTGTACACTCTGTCAACAGCAATGCCATACACCAATTGCAACTTAGGAACTGCTTTTCTCACTGCGATCATAAGTTCCATGATAGGAGTGGCTCCTAATATACACATTAGAGATGGGGTTAAAGAACAAAGTTACAAACTGTACTCAATTCAGAACAAAGTGGGGAGAAAGGAAATAGCTACAGTTATAAAGTAAATAAGTAATGTACACTTTCAAAGAGATCATCAGAAAAGTGGATTTTAATCTAAGTACGATTTATATGGATAGACAATATTATAACCACGCTGCCATAAGCTCTCAATCCTCTCATATATAGCGTTAAATACATTTTGTAACAACTAATAAGCAGAAGTAATTAATGTAGTAGGCAGGCCAAAGTTAAATTTGAAAAAAGAAAAAATATTTCTAATGCTATGTCTGACTCAATCCTGTGAGCCCTTCCAGCTATTCCAAGTCTCTGGCCTATCCGAGCCACGTAATGAAGTGCTATAGAGATGGTAATAAGAAATCTTTCAGGAATTCAAAATGGATGCCCCCTACCCCGGCCACCATCAGCCATGAAAGTTACCAATGAAGATATTTTTTCATGCAGAAGTTCCTATTTGACATTTCTTAAAGATGGAAAAGAAACAGTATGACCATATGCTTATATATACTATTAGTTCAAACAGGGAAACACAACAAGCGTATGAGAGATTATATACATGGATTTATGTATGATGATGCCATGGTATGCAAGAGGTCCATGCAATACACCGTCATCCGTTCCTCTTCCAGCAGTAATGTCTCCAAAGCAGAGTACAACGTGGTACTAAATGTAAAAGGATATCTCTTTTTTCATAGTAGTATACGAAAAGAGATTGATGGCATAAGATGATAGAGGTGGGTCATTCAATCGGCATATCTTTCTTTTCTCAAATGGAGACATTGGTTGCATAGTGATATGTGTAGCTCCTTACAAATCACTTAAAAACTTCTCTATTGAAAGTGGTACTAGTAGAAAAAATAAATTAATGCAGCAATATCCCTTCTCTATATGGATGAATCTCTTTTTGTCATGGTTAGTAGAAGAAATGGGACAACAAATAGTTAAGGTCAGTGCTCACATCAGCTGACAAAGCTAAATAGAAGTTCATACATATGACAACAGCTATATATATGAAAAAAAATATTCATTAGTGAGAGCCCACAACAGTTGGCAAGGCTAAATAAAAGTTCATACATGGTGGTAGGCTTAGAACCACATATGACAAGGCTCTCAAGTACTCTGTCTGTCCCAATCCAAAAGACAGATAACCTAATATATTTACGAAGGTCGGGATGGTGCATATTGGAAATATTTGGGATAAATATAGCATGCACCACCACTATACTATTTTGCTAAGCTATAAGAGGTATAAACATACATAGCTAATTAAATATGGAAAATATATTTCCAGAAGAATGATGAGAGTATAGGAAAAACCATTTAGGCCATGGTTGTCTTCTAAAAATCAGAATAATACCATAGTTATTCATCGGTACTTACTTCCTACATTTAAAATTTGAGGTACTTGGTGCTTGCCTTTGTAGCTTGCTCGTTTACTGTTGCCTCCCTGGTTGGTCGGTGCCTCAGCCTTAGCTGTCCTGCACTGCGCAAAGGGGAAGATGGAGGGAGGTAGGATCTGGGTGAGGAGCCATGAGACGGAGGACGGATCTGGGTGACGAGCCATGAGACAGAGAAGAAGAGGGTGAGGTACCTCTAGATCTAGCCACCAAGCCGATCCGCCGAGGAAGAGGCCGCGCACGCGCAGACGGAGGCGTCGAACACAGGCACCTAGGGTTTTGATGTTTCATCGAGCCCAGGAACACATGTGGACCGATGGGAGGAAGCCGCGTCGGGGTGGCGGCATGGCAATGGCCACCTCTGGGGGCTCTTGGCGCCCGTGCGCGCCCCCCCCCCTTGTGCAGGTGGTCTTCCCTCATGGCTCTCCTCCCCTTCTTCCAGTCTGGTCGGCCCAGAGGAGGTGGAGGGCCGGTGAATGGGTAGTGGCGGACATGGAAGGGGCGTGGTGGCGGGCTCCTCCAGATGCGCCGTTGCCGGCTTCAAAAGTGGGCCCGCTTGCCGACACTGGCCGCATCCGAGACACCGCCGCGCTGAGAGCGGCGATGCGACCGGATCTGGGGGTGGTGGTGGCGCGCGACGCCAGGAGAGGGGGCGCCGCGATGAGACAAGCAGCGCTAGGGGTGCCATCTTATTGGAGGGGGTGGCGGACGCAGATCTAGAAGGCGAAGGTGCGTCGGGCGGCGGCGGACTTGAGCAGAAAGGGCGGGCACGCCAGATACTGGGAGGAGCAATGGCGCGGGCGGGTGAAATTGAGTGGAGGCGAAGTGGCGCCCGGACTGGTGGGAGGCGATGGGATGGGGTGGGAGCGGCGGATCTGTCTCGTGCGAGCGTGGGCGGCGTGTACTGCTGCGATGGGGTGGGGTGCCGGCCGCGTATGGAGGATTTAGGTCTAGCTGGTTTTGCGTTTTTTTATTTTTTTCACTGCCTTTTCTATTCCTAAAGACAGGCGCCAAAGTTGAAATCCGGGCGCCAATGCGAAATGCAAATGGGCGCGCGAGCTCAATGTAGGTGGGCGCGTGAGCAAGGTGGGGCCCATTTTTTAGCGACAGACGGATTGATGCTATACCTGTTTTCAGCGATAGATAGTTCGACGTTAAAGATGATTACCTATAGCGACAGACAGTTAATCTCTAAATGGAGAATTAGCGTCAGATTGCCTGTGAGTTATCTTTAGCGTCAGATCATCCATCGATAAAAAAAGTTTTAGTGTCAGATATCTGACGGTGATATGGTGTAGTGAATATACACCAGAATTCGTCTTCATTAAAATCAAGGGCTAATAAAACACCTAGACAAATCGGATCGCCGCGATTTGATGTGGGAAGCTAGGCTTCTCACCTCAAGCTTCCCACCCCGCGCCCTCCATCCCAGGCAAGCAGGCTTCAACGCGTCCCACGCACGTCGCAACCAGAGATCGAAGCTTGGGAACACCGAAAAAAATGAAACGCCGCGTTCGATTCCCACCTCCCCCGATCTTATTCATTTTTTCTGAAAAAACACAAGGCACGTGCGGGCAGGCTACGGCGCTTGGCTGCGGGGCGATAGGGTTGCACGCGGCAGCGGCAGCGCCAGGCTCCCGCGGTGGCCGCCCTCCGACGCGGATGAGCCTCGGTGGCTGCTAGCCCTTTACCCGTGCCCCACGCGCATCTCTGTCTCCCTCTCTCCCGATGCGAGCCGGCCAGGGGCTTGGGGGCCGCGGCGGGCGCGGGCGAGGAGCTGGGCGCCCTGCGTGAAGTGCTGGCTCGACTGGGCTGTGGAGGAGCAACCGCCGGCGTCGGAGCGACGCAGCCGCAGGGCGGCACGACGTGAAAGGGAGTGGAGCGCGACGAGGAGGAAGAGAAGGTCCTTGATGCGAATTTGCCGTAAGTTTTCAATTTTTGGCACATGTTGTGGTTCCTAGACGAGATCTGTGGCTGGGGCTGCAACAATCCCGCCTGAATTTTAGCTTTTCAGAGAGGTAGTTTAATTGCTATGGTTTCTCAAATCTTGGGGATTTTTTTCTCACCATTTTCTATCACAATTTCTCTGTCCAGATTGGGTGAGCACGCCAATGCCATCATGGCGAACGGGAGGCTGTAGAAGCAGGCGTTGCTTCGCCGTGGAGCCTGTTCCTGGTAGCGGCGCCAGCGCCACACACCGAGCTCAGCCCGATCGCGCGGCCGTGAGACGCGCACCACCGGCACAGCTACCAGCATACGTCGTCCGAGAGCTTCCTCGCCGACGAGTAGCCGTTGTCACCATACGACCTTCTCAACGAGCCCAAGACGCCGTCGTGGCTGGACGACCTGCTCCAGTATATTGCATAGCTCGAGAGAAGAGTTCAGCCCTTACAGGTAATCCTTTTTCCCGGAAACCAACCATATTAGTCGTTTGTTGCATGAGTTAGAAACCTTAAACATCCTATATAATTCTTAAATTTTTATGATTGCAGACAGATGGGATAGAAGTAACTGCTTAAATGGATTTTCTCGGACAGCAAAATATCATGTTAGACTTAGAAAATAAAGCCTTGAAGCAACTGCTTGAGAGTCTGTCTCACGAGTATTTCATTAAACACTGTAGGTATTCCTCTTTCTTTCCCGGAGTTTCTTTGGTGACATGTCTTGTGTACTTAGAAATTATGATAGCAGTCAGGTTTCTGATCTCTAAGTCTGGTGAATGGATGTTATATGTTAAAATTTTATTTTGAAAATGATTCTTGTGATGGAGCTGTAGATATGTTAGGAACCTGTAAAAAATGTTTTTTGTTGTAAACTAAATGCCAACTATATGCCTACAGTTTACATGTTCTTATAATGTTTTAGTTCTAGCTAAAAACAAAGAGGATTACCATATTTCATCAATATTTTTTTCATTCTAGATCAATATGTACCAGTGCCAGTGTGCAACACTGCAACTTGACTGATATAAAAAAATACTAAATAATATTCATGTGTTGCAAATATCAAAATTCCTTTTATTTGTGAACTGAGGTACTATAGAATTCTATATACAACTCAATTTACCAAAACCAAAAGTTTAGTATTCAGATGGGACAAGAGTAACTAACCATGATCAATAATCCTGGTTTGTTCTAATTGTTTTGAATTTCATTGCATGACTATGATGAATGCTTGAGCTACATATCAGTACTCACTTTTAGGGTCTGTCTATATAAGAGAAAAATAAGTAGAAGGAAAGAGGAAAAAGATATACCTTCCTTGCATATTTTTTAAGATCCTACTATGTGGTTCTCCTTGACTTTCATGTTTTGAAGTTCCAGTCATGTGCTCTGTCTGTTACTCTGGTTATAGATTCAGTTACTAGCACAGCTTATAGCTAACACAGATAACATATGTTTTTGGCTTAATTTTGATGCAAGGTATGTCAATTTACGAGTCTATTAAATTTGTATTTGACACATAATGTCAAATTAGTTATGTGCCAAACCAAATATTCACTTAAATCTGTACCCAGTTATCTTATCTTGGAGGAAACCCCTGCTGCTTGCCGCCTCATTGTCATTTGAAGATCCTCATTGGTACTTCGTCATGTTCACGCTTGGAGATATACGCGATGCGCTAAGCGATATCACCAACATCGCAGAGTATATGCTTCAAAGATAAAAATGCACTTTAAATCGAATTATGACATCTGAACTTTTGGATGTTTACACAGACACTTTTCATTTAGCGGGTTGAACGGAGATGTATCATTTTACTTTGCCAAACTCAAAGCACTCGAGTATTTGTAACTACATGTTTTCAGTCACGTTAATTCTGCGGTGAATTTTAGTCAGTGAAGATAAATTTGTATTTCTGAATTCTGATATATTTTCAGGGATTTATCACACAATAAGTTGGAGGGCTCAATTCCTGATGTCTTTTCACAGCTGTCATCTCTCATGGGTATGTGAGTTTTCTGATCCCTGATGACTTTCATGTCTTAGATTTTAGCTATAAACAATTGCTAATACTAATCTAATCATTAAACACTACTGAAAAATGATTTTTAGACCAGTCCATAATTTTTATGACTACACTACTTGATTTATGGTGGAGGCGGGCGCCTGCTGAATGCTCGGCCTGCAACACCAGGATCGCCGCTGCCATTGCTTGTTCTTTGCGAGTTTTACTGATGGGTACGATTTATAAATGACAGATGTCAGGAGCTGTTACGACGAGAAAATTAATAATTTAGCTTATTATCTGCCATGTACAGCTATCAACTTCACTGAGGATGGAATTCTTGGCGGACATTTTGAAGAGCCGTGCAAATGAATGTTTTGATAGCTTCCCTAAAGATCTCCGAGTCATGATTAAGGACTTAGGCAGAATGTAACTTAGATGGTTAATATAAGAAATAACTTTACTATGTCTTCTTATGCAAAAGTGTTTCTTGGATTGTAAACATGCTCAAATACAATTGTGTAAAAGTTGAACTATGAAAAAAATTATTGGTTGTTTTCATGTGGATCTCTAAGATAAAGCCGTAGCGTTAGCACGGGTATTATACTAGTATTATCAGTTCTCGCAAACGAGGACATAAACCAAAAGGCATTAAGCTATATATGCATGGTTAGGCAAGATAGCAGGCTCTAGTGACCAGTAGTATTGGCCTTTTGCCCCTGCTGTCGCTCGCTCGCTCGACCCTCTCCTCTATAAATACCGGCCCCTTCCCTTCATTCCCAGCTTCATTGCCTGGCCTGCGCTGTGTTGCAAGGAGGTAGGGTGATCGAGGAACCACATTGCTTTTCCATCTAGGTTATCTTTTTACATGCATGCTAAATAAATTTCAGCCCTATTTCTTTCTGCATCAGTTCTTTGATATATACATCTTGCTTCCCTTCATTCCCAGAATCCCAGCTTGCTTGCATGTCCTGGCCTGCTGCTCTGCTATTCACAGCCTCACAATCATATTGCAAGGAGCTAGGGAGCTCATCGAGGAACCGCACTAGTATATATAGGAGCACAGCTCCGGCCGTCTCCAGGCTCGCTTGCCTGCAAATCTGAGTCCAAGAACACCTGCTCAGCTAGAGGGGAACAAGCAAGGTTTGTGATGAATTTCTCCTCTTTCTGCATCAGTTCCGTGATATCTTTGTCATCCGGCATTTCTTTCCTCAGCACC